GGGCAAACCCCACACCAAAAATAGTGCTGACATATCCAAATGTTGAAACTTATTTTGATAATGCCCCACTTCAATTAGTTGCTAATAGTAATGTTCTTTCTACATCTTCTAATGTTAATGTTGTCAGGAACAACATGATTGAGAATTAAAGACAACTTCATGACAAAGATACTCCGCCTCCGTTACCAAATGAAGCATCAAAAGACCCTCTTCAACTAGCTCAAACATCCTTAGTGGGGAATGACATATACAAAAACATGCAAAAAAAGGGCCAAAAGGAAGAATGAACTCTCAAGTCTAAATGTTGGCAATATTATTCAGGAAGAAACGTACTACTTGGAGGCGGAACAATTGGGCAACCCTTCTAGATCTTCTTGATAGGCAGTCTTAAGTCGGTCCAACCCTATTTCTAGAAGGTTTGATGTATTTGCACAATTTTTGAAGAGTTTTTGGATGCAACTCTTATAGAACCAACCTAGGGCTTTATACAGCGCCAAAATTCATCAGGAAGTGACTCCTTTTTACTCCAAGACATTCCACCATGCTCTACCAAGACATTCCACCATGGACATTCCACCATGCTCTATTTTTGTCATTCTTCATAATCCATCTTCATTCCACCACCATATTGGAGTCCATTAGTGATTTTTCTTTTATAGTTTAGAGTCTGTGTGGTGATATTTAGTGTGAAACTTCTTAGTGTGGAACTTTCTATAAGAGTGTTGGAGAAGGCTAAAAGTGAGAGATATCTTCTTCGTGCATTTCTAAGAAATCGTGCATTTCTAAGAAAAGGCTATAAGGAATTTGCTTTGAGAAAGAGTTTCAGATAAGTTTTGTTTGTTTATTAGTGTTGTGTGAACTTTCTTTTATATTTAAAATTTTTTTTTGTTGTGTCTTTCTCATGAAGTCTAAGTAGTTCACTCTATATTTCTCCCTACTGTGAGATATGGTGAAATGAAGAGATAATATGATGTGCCAATATTAAAATATAAAATAAATTATGAGGATTTCTTAACTCCAAACTTAATTTACATTTCGATCTAGCCAATTAAATTATTAAAATATGTTGTGAAACTTATGATCCGGGAAATGGAGTATGAGTTCTACAACAGAGTGAGGATCACATTATTTCATGGAGGAGAAAATTTCATTCATGGATATAAGTGTAAATAAATAGGAAAATATAGTTTGTTGGGTGAAATATTCTTTGTTGGGTGGAGAATCTTTAGGGTAACAGGGTAACAGACTAAAATCCCCAAATCAGTCTTAGTGTTTAAAAACTAAAGCGAGAGTTAGTCTTCAGGTGAAGGGTAGTGGGAGCTCTCGAGTGGGAGCTGGTATCCTCCTAGCCTAGGCACGGATTTAGGGACTTAACCTGGGATTAGCCAATGATTTTCTATGCACTATATCAGTGTAGAGAATTATTGTTGCTGGTATCCTCCTAGTACTAGCGAGAATTATTGTGGCACAATTTATATTAAACATTTATCTCATCTCATTTCACTAGAACCTCATTGTAGTGGGAATGATGCTTTTTCTGGGAATTTCACATAAGAAATATTCATTACATAAACATAGTTAGTAGATTAGTATTTATTTTTTAAACTTTACATTTCTGTTTTGCTAATAGTTAAGTACTTTAGTTTTGATAACATTCAACATTCAAAATTAATGACAGTGATTTCGTTTTATTTTCTGTAAATTTTCTAGTAAAACTTATATTTGCAATTTACACCTTCCTTGTGGGATCGATATTTGGGGCTTAAATAGAAAGTCCTTTATTACTTGATAACAATACATATACTTGCATATAGTCCCATTATTAACAGCATATAATTATATATATTTTTTACACAACTTACTTTTCATACAAGGATCAAGTTTTTGGTGTTGTAGTGGTGTCAACTTCATAAATCCTTACATATATAAAAATTGGGATCAGGTTTTTAGTGACATTTCCGGGAAGGTAACGATTAAATTTAGATAAATTAAATAGCTTTGATAAATTAGGAAAGTTAGAGATAATATATATACTATAAAAATATATAATATATATATATATATATATAAATCAAAAATCTAAAAAGAAATTTATTTAAGAGTATTTTAAAAAAAAATCAAAAATCTAAAGAGAATTTTACTTTGCTTACTATATTTGCTTATGCAAAATATTGGAACTGAGGACTTAGTACCTTACTATTTAGAGTTAGAACATATTATTATAAAAATTCAAAACAACAAAGAGAAATTAAAAATTTTAAAAAAATTGATAAAAACTTAAAAAATCTAATAAATGAGAATTGATAAAGACCTTTAAAAGATTATGTGAATTAAAAGATTATGTGGATTATGTGAATCTGACAGCAGATGAACTTTACTTGACTATTCAAAATCCTGATGTTGCTGCTAATTCATTTGGGCTTAAACCTGCTATTATCCAAATTGTACAAAATGATCAGTTTGGAGGATCTTGACCTACTGAAGATCCTAACTTACATCTTGCTAGTTTTCTTGAAATTTATGCAACATTTAAATATGACAGTGTCTAATGATGTTGTTAGGCTTAGACTTTTTCCTTTTTCATTAAGCCAAGGATTGGTTAAATTCATTAGCACCTAGATTAATTAGAACTTGGGGAGAACTATTACAAAAATCCTTGGCTAAATATTTCCACCTTCGAAAATCGCTAAGCTTAGAAATGATATTACATCTTTTTGTCAGTTTGTAGGGGAATCAATATATGAAGCATGGGAAAGAATTAAAGACCTTCTTAGAAAATGTCCACACCATGCTTTACCAGTTTGGTTAATAATTCAAACCTTTTACAACGGAATTGTAGGATCACTAAGTTTTATTATAAATGCTACTGCGAGTAGATCATTAATGTGAAAACCTTTTGATGAAGCAAATACTTTAATTGAAGAAATGACTATTAATAATTTTCAGTGGCCCTTTGAAAGGGTAAATCCTAAGAGAGTAGCCAGTATTCATGATTCTGATGCAATGTCTATTTTTGCATCTCAAATTACTGCTATTTCTAAAAAGATTGATCAAATAGGAGTGAACTATTTTCAAATGCCCCCAGTTATAGAAGAAAATTCACTAGGACAAATTATTGATACTCAACCATCTTATGAAACTTTAAACACTGTAAATAATTGAAATAACAATCCCTATTCTAAGTATTTTAACCCTGAATGGAAAAATCACCATAATTTTAATTGGAATAATTATAACAATGTGGTGAATCCATCAAAAATCTGGTGAATCCATCAAAAATCTAAATAATCAAGGAAATCCTAATTTTTGACCTTATTATCATCCAGGACTTAACTCCAACCCTAACTCAAAAACTAAGGAAAAGAAGTTGATGATGGAAGACGTGAAGAAGTTGACGATGGAAGAAAGGAAGAAATGATGTTGAATATAGGAAATCAAATACAAAATCAAGGGGCTGCTATTAGAAATATGGAAAATCAATTATTACATATTGCTACTACACTTAGCAACAAACCGTCTGAAATTCTTCTTAGTACTGTGGAAGTTAATCCAAAAGATTAAAATAAAGAGCTAATTTAAGCTATTAAATTACGAAGTGGAAAAGAAGTTGAAACAAGTGTCTAAGGAGAAACTGACAAGGATCTGTGTCTAAGGAGAAACTGAA